ACGTAACTTCCTGTGAGCACAGAGAGACACTGAGTCAGTACCAGTGACCAGTGACCAAAGGACCAGTGGGAGCACCTGGTGTCTGACCTGTGGTACTCCGGTCGGATGTCCAGGTCCGATCTGAAAGCCTGGGCGGCGTACTGGTTCAGGGAGCAGGGGAACGGCAGCTCGGAGTCCAGGTCGTAGACCAGGACCTCAGACCGGGGGTCTGTGACCAGGAGGATCACGTGGTAGTCCTGAAACACAGAACAACGTCTGGTCACGGTGACATGGCTCTGACATCATCAACACAGTGACGTCACAGACCCAGATCAGCGGCCGGTCTCCTCGTCCTGACCTCTGTTTCCACAGAGGAACCTGGATGAAAAGAGAAGGAAGTGAGAGGAAGTTCTGTGGAACCTCGCGGAGGTTCTGGACTTCCGGTCCTCACCGTTCTGTTCTCGTTGGAGATAAACACTGCGGACACGTGTTCCAGAGCAGCGGTTCTCTGGTCTCTGATAAACTCGCACAGTTTCCAAACATTTTCTTCACTTTGGGATAAAAACAAAAGACAGAACCAACAGTGAGGAACTCCGGCCTCAAACGGAAGTGCATTTTATCTTTGGTTTTTTATTTGTCGATTTCCATCGTTTTCTGCTCGGAGCGTCATTCAAGAATAAGCGTCACGACTGCAGTAAAACAGCTAAAACTTACGTTACGTACAAATCAATTTAAAGTGAACAACAGGATTTAAAAACGAATAAAAACTGGATTTATTTGTATTTTAACTTAACGGTTGAGACGACACGACGGGTCACGTTACCAATAACAGCTGGTGTAAACACAGTGGTCTCGGCTCGGAACGATTTCCATCTCCTCATGTTAGGTTGTTGTTGTTGTGTCACACTGAACGAGCTCCGCCGGAAGTTACTCACCGGCACCTTAATAGACACGGACTTTCAGATGAACAAGCGAAGAAGTCAAACACAGCCACATATCTTCACAACAAAGACGTGTTTCGATAGAAGAAAACAATGAAATTAAATTAAATATTGATAAAAACTGATTCACAAAGTGAACATTTCAACCTTTAATCACTGTGTTACTGTCGCGGGCGCAGGTGGGATGTTTGAACTGGGGGGGGCAGCGAAATGTGGGGGAACACATTTCTATATATTATATATAAAATATATATATTGTACAAGGCACAATATAAAAATATATTTACATTATATATGTAATAATGCCATTATATGATGCTCTTTCAGAGTCCCCCGAGTCACAGAGTCCCCCGAGTCACAGAGTCCCCCGGGCCACGGGGCCAGAGGGGCACCCGTGTC